CTTCATCAGACTTCAAATGGGTGCTTACGCCAGAAACGGCCTCCAGACGGATCCCGAGCTTCTCCCCTCCGTGCCCGAAGACCGTCACTGGTCACGCAGAAGCTCTTGGCTTGCGAGGCCCGGGATTCCTGGGAGCGGGAGCCCTGACATTCTGCGTCCCGGATGTCGGGCGGGCGGTCGGCGGCCCCAGCAGGCTGCTCGACCACCTCGGCGAAGTCCGGGAAGGGAGGATGGAAGGCTTCGCCCCGCAGAAGTCGGGCCCAAGTGGACGCCATCGCTGCACAGCTTAGCTTCCACTTCTTGACCTTCTGCCGCAAGTCCGTCACGGAGGGACCTTCGTTCTCCAGAAAGCTCCTCACATATGGCAGGTTTTGGTCATCGAGGCCAGCATGATGTCGTTCCCGAAGTAGGACACACCCAACGCGTCAACTTGAGGGCCTGATCGGATCTTCTGCAGGAGTTGGGCCACACCGGCACTCGCTGTCGCCTCGTACCAGACCTGGGAACCAAGCAGCTCCCATAGACGGTTCCTCTGACAGCCTTCCACGCCACTGCAACGTCCGCCATCATGCTCCATGCCGGAGTTCTGAATGGAGTCGTCGATGCAGATGCATCCATGGTTTGCACGACGCCCAAGTGTTCAATGGCAAGCCTTGAAGCAGCGAAGAGAAGACATGGTAGTCACCCGGTAGCCGCTGTCGTCTTCCCTTTGGCATCGCTCCGAGACTTCATGAATTGCAAACCTGGCGCCAGGGCGGCAGTTGATGGCAAGCGCGCGAGCCCCCATCATCTCAAGCTCCCTACACAGCCTTGGCACGTTTGCGAGCTGCTGAATCGTTCTTCGGGGCCATCTTTTCCATGAAGCGTATCAGCTCCTCACACACGCAACGCGAAGCAACTACGAGCAGTAGAAGCAGCTTGCAAGGCACCAGGGACCGACCTCGGCGGTCTGCTGCACATCAGGGAACCCCGAGCCCTTCGCGTACTCCAACTCCTCGTCCCAGAAAGACACCGAGCTCTGCGAGACGCCGAGCCAGCACCCTTCTCCTTCCGCGCTTCTTCCAAGCGCTCACTGTAGAGAAGGGCCAGCGCAAGCACATTCCTCGAAGCATCTCAAAGTTAGCATCATTCAAAAAAGATCCGCTCAGGTTTGGTTGACATTCTTGCTATGCTGACAGCTCATCATGTGCCGGCATGTCGCGCTGTGTGACCCATTTCGTGTCGCAAGCTTTGCACCTCCAGCGGCACTGTATGCTTATGGTAAAATACTACGACTACGACTCGATAAGTAGCTGCATCCTACCTCTTCAGCTGCAGCACTTCGGACCAGGTCTTCGTAACCATGCTTGGCAGCATGCAGTTCGGCGGCAGCACGCTCCCATCTAGGCGTCAAAGCGAACCGCAGCGGCCAAGCTGTCAAATCCTTGAGACCCCAGATGTCATCTGAACGCAAGCCAAGGCTGCTGTTCCAACAGGAGGCTCACATCGCCCAAGCGTCTTCGAGCTTTCCTCAGTGACGCCGGCCACGACCTTCCTTGTTTTTCCTCTTTGCCTTCTGCAATTTCTGAGTGCCGTCAAAGCAGCAAGTTCGAAAGACGGTCCTCGGAAGTGCTCCGAGAGCCGTATACGTGCGAGCAGAGGTTCCTAGGCCAAGGAGCCGCCGTCGTGAGGCGCACAGCGTCTTCTGCTGCATGGGCCGAGGCCTCACGCTAATTAGAATCGTAGGTGTAGCGATGTGTAGCGGATTTCTCTTGTGCACTCGTCTGACTCACGGCATGTGCCTCGAATGTCGTATTGGAGGCACAGGCATTAAACCGCTTAGTTGATGACGTCAGGCCAAGGGGATAGATTGACAACATCATCGGCTTTTTCTTTCCGTCCTGGTATCACACTCGACCTGCCGAATCTCAGATCCTGCAGTCAAAATTATATCCATCCACCTCCGTGGGTGCTTCGCCACGCTGAACGACATTGGTTTTTCTACTGGGCACCACTTATCATCACATCGCCTGTTTCAACCGGAGCTTTGGGACGACACATCCTCAATCTCTGCTCCTCCGTTGTATTGCGAAAAGCCTACGTGAATCTGCAGGCATGCGTGCTCCGACTTCTTGGCATCATCTCAATTCTAAGGTGAGTACACGTAGATCTGACGACAGATACGCACCTGCAAACCCTTCTCGCAATGCCGTCTTTCGCACGCTGTACGTCTGGCAGGCTTTTAAGCCACGTGGGCATCCATTTTGCGTGACACTTTAAGTGTATACACAACAAGATCTCTTCTGCTGACGGAACCATTTCATTTTCTTGTTTAGTGGTGGCGATCTATCTCTTGCTCTTCCACTAGAATCGCTAGAACCCTTCTCTGCTGGTGTGTTGCTTGTTGCACTGACCACAACTCCGAGATTTTTCGATGTACCGAGAGTGTTTTTTCAGGCCACGGCAATTTGGTGTCTGAAGGCCTTGCGAAGCTACTGTGGAGGAAACGGAGATGAATGGCAATTTGGTGTCTGAAGGCCTTGCGAAGCTACTGTGGAGCAAACGGAGATAAATGAGCAACAAGTCAGTGTGAAGCAAAGGCTAAAAAAAAGGGTTTAGGGTTTAGGGACCCGGAAGCAAGCAAACACGGGACCTGGGGCTCTGGGCCAATGCTGTGAGCGGAGCTTGAAAAGAGCAGCAGCTCCGTGCGGCGGTGCGGGTGAGTTTGGACCTTGGCCCGTTTCTTGTCGTGCCGCGTATGGAAGAAGGCTGAAGATGATGGAAGAGCTAGACTAGAGATACCAGTCCAAACCCTAGCCCTAAACCCTGAACCTTAAACCCCAAACCCTAAACCCTGAACCTTAAACCCCAAACCCTAAACCCTGAACCTTAAACCCCAAACCCTCCCTGAAGCCTGAATCATCAACTTCAGCTAGACAGCTGGCCTCGGTCTCCCCCAGCATCTCAAGAAGCTGCGCAGCAGACAGGAAGGCCTCGCCTGCCAAAAAAGGAGTTGGGTTCCGGAGGGTCCAATTTCTTTAGGCTAGCAATGACAGTATGAGTTCGAGATTTAAGATCTTGAAGTTCCGAGTTGAGTTCAGGATTGCAGGAACTCAGGACTTCTTGAATTTTGAGTATCGGGAATCGAAATTACTTCAGGCTTTCGGGTTGTGGCATTCACTCTTCAGCTTTGCGGCTGCTTGGCTCTGCTTGGAGCTCGCCGAACCACTGGCACCCTTACAGTAGCACCTTTCCCGTGGGGGCCTGCAGCAACGTCCTTGCCCTCTTGCTGGGCCGCCGCGGCGGCTCGCTGCGCCAAGCCCAAGGCCTTTCTGGCTAAACCCTAAACCCCTAAACCCTAAACCCTAAACCCTAAACCCCTAAACCCTAAACCCTAAACCCTAAACCCTAAACCCTAAACCTCCACAAGCGCTAGGCGGCCCAGTCCCAGGGTCCCAGGCAAATCATCCAAAGACACAAAGACACCGTGTCACTCAAAGTCAACTATGGGTTTAGGGTTCAGGGTTTAGGGTTTAGGGTTTAGGGGTTTAGGGTTTAGGGTTTAGGGTTCAGGGTTTAGGGTTTAGGGTTTCTTCCAAGAAGTCCAGTGCACGAGCTGGATTAACCTTGACCCGACAGGCCGAATGACTGCGCGCCTCCTGCAGCCGGGCGCGGCAAGCAGCATGCTCGCAGCGCTCGGGACAAAGTGCCCTCGGGCTTGAGGGAACGGGACAACGGAAACCCTGAGCGATGCCAACAGCCCACGCACCACAGTAAAAACAAGTTCAGGCAGGGTACATCTGCTGCCCCAAAATGCACGCGGCAAGTCTGGACATAGTCGTCAGGTTGCTCTCCAGGTCGTGCGCCTGGAGTCGGGAGAGCCCCTGTCAGACAAGACTCGGCGCGGATTCCGCCAAGAACATGGCATAACCCCTTGTTTGCGCTGAAACCTAATACCGGAAGCCTCCCGCAGAAGGGCTTCAGCATCACGCAGAGCAGATCGGCTTTTCTCACAGTCTCCGGCAACATTGAAGTGCTCTGCCTGGGCAAGCGATGCAGTTGAGCCCACCTTCACCGCAGGCAACCTGCACGTTTAAGAAGTCCCCATGAAAACGAATCTAGTCAGGCGGTAGGTGTTTTGTGTTTACCTGGCTGGACCAGAGGTCTTGCCGCTTGTTGAGGACATGTCAATGCCAATGCTGCCAGCCAGCACGAACCAGGAGCACAGCTGCATCGACGATCAGGTTCTGCAAGCTGCGTAGCTCCGGTGAAGTTTTCCTTGCGTCAGTCTTGCTGGCTTGGGATTGTACCGGGATGTTGCCATGCTATCTCTGCACGTCGCGCCGGACAAAAGCTGTCGCACACCGTAGTCAATGACATGTTAGCTTTTCCATAACAGTTCAGCTAGCCGAAGTTCATCGCCAGATTCTAGACATCATCGGTCGCCGGGTGGCCGGCAAAGCGGGCATGACTCATTCACGCCATGCCGACGCAGCTCAAGCAGGCAGGCTTTGTGCCTTGGACTACCCCCACGAGATCTGTGAAGAGCTGCTGAGTCCCGGGGAGTCTCTGAGTGTCGGACAAGCGGTGCCCACAAGTCAAGCTTGACACGTCGCCGCAGCAAACGTCCAGGCAAATTGCGCACTGCGCCATGGCTGGAGTCTGACTCTGGCACTCGACTCGAAGCTTTCCCCCCTTACCGTCTGCGATTTCTGGCTCTGCTTTCGTCGAGGGGCTTGAACCAAGAACACCCCTCCATGCAAACTTTATGGGGAAACCCAAAATGAATCGGCCAACATTCGTTCCTGTCGTCGCAGCAGCAGCGCAGTAGCAGAAGTGGCAGCAGCTCGTGGTAGGAGCCGTAAGAGCAACAGTGGAAACAACAGTCGAAGCAGCAGTAATAGTAACAACACTCGTCACAGTGCCAGTAGCAGCAGTAGCAGCAATGACTTCTTTCAGTGCAATTTTGGTACAGTATACTACAAGTATAATAAGGAACCCCCAAAATAGGTACGTTATACTATACTTATAATAAGGAACCCCCAAAATAGGTACGCTATACTATAATTATAATAAGGAGCCCCCAAAATAGGTACGTTATACTATAATTATAATAAGGAGCCCCCAAAATAGGTACGTTATACTATAAATATAATAAGGAGCCGCCAAAATAGTCTAGGTAAGTATTCATTTTGGGCCCCTCACCGACCATGGCGGTGAGCATTGCAGCGGCTTTCGTACGCTCCTCGAGGTCCCCCAGTGGTGCCAAGACCTCCGAGCTTCGATTTTAGGGTTTAGGGTTTAGGGCTTAGGGTTCAGGGCTTGTTTAGGGTTTAGGGTTATTTTAAGGAGATCAAGCCTTTGAAGGGGGCTATGCAAGGGTTTTCTTTTATCGGGGGTTCAATGCCAGAAGCCTCGGAACGTCAAAACCCCCCAATAAAGACCCCGAAGTAGTAAGATCTGTGAGGGAAGGAGCACGGGCACCCAGTCTTCTGATACCCCCAGTTGGGGCTTGCGCGTCGGTATGCATTGCAGCTTCGGATTTCTGTGGATTCTAAGTCATAAGGACATAAGGATAACAAGCTTTGCAGGCAGCCGGAACATTTCCTGAGCCGTACAGAATAGCGGCAAGAAAGAAGCATAGACGCACTTGCGGGGCACGGGGCATGCTCCTCCGGGTGGGTCGAATGCCTAAAGGGGCATGAACCCTAATGCGCAGGCACTGATTCGATTCCCACGCTCCACCTCGCCGGTCAACAGGCTCACCAGTCCGCCAGTGCCCACAGAGGCATGTACACCTTTAGAAACGCCAGCCGGCAGGCTGAGCTGAAGGACGAGCTCAAAAGCGCCAGGCGCCAGGCAGGTGCCGAAGAAGGCGTAAACGATTGGCGGAAGCATGCAGCCTCGCAGAGAGCAGAGCGAAGGTTGACCAGAGCCTGCTCTTTCGCAGACATTGACATGTCCTTGCAGCTGAGAGTCTGTAAGGGCCATTGATCAAGTTCACCATGCACCTGAGAAACAGGGAATGCCTCCTTGGTAAGGCTTGCAGCACCAGACCCATGAATCAGATGGTGCAAACACGACATGGCATCTCAGAGAAGCGCAAGTTTGCATGTGCCAGAGATTGGCCTCCGGTGATCCAAACACATGGAAAGCGGTGCAACATTGGCGTTGAGGATTTAGAATGTGAGCATCCATGACGCTGATGTCCGTTCACGCCTATGAGAATGCATCCCAGTGTGATCGAACCAGCAAAGTCCGGCTGCAAGTTCTCGAGAGGGTAGCGCGGAAGCCAGTACAGAATGGGGATATTCTCTTCAAGAGCTTGCCGCCATGATCCTTAGCTAGTGCCAACTGTAGTGCCCTTCAAACCTCAAGGGTCGCGAGTCCAGAGTCGTGTTGAGTCAAGAATCGCTCCCTTGTTGATTTCTGTCGTGACAAATCAGACTTCTCGCTGCGCAGCAGATCTGAAGTCAACGACATCGACATCTGACAAAGAACCTGTCTAGGCAGTAACAAAAAATTGCTTCAGGGGGGTCCACTCATCGAAGCAGCTGCTGAGTTGTTCTATTCTTGCGGCTGGCATCTTGTCTTGAGAACCGTGACAACTACTGACTATCGACCGACATGTTGATTTTGTCCATCACACGCTTTGCATGGCTGCCCATGTTTATGCCACTGGCCTACAAGCCTACAAGCCAACATGGCTGCAAGCGAGCTTGGCAGATGCTTCTGTACGCCAATAGACTCGGAAGGCCGTTCTTGGTGCTTTCCTCTTGGGAAATCATGACGTCGACTGCATCAGCGCTGCCCGCGATGAGAAGCAAATGATGAGCATCCAAAGTAAAGGTTCTTCGACATGCGCCTGCCCAGCGAGCCATGCCCCTTCGACGGCATCTGCCAGGCTGTACCTCGCCGCAAGAGATCACTTGCAGACTGCATGCTGTCTGCATTCAAAATTGCGGCCTGTCGCTGGTAGCTTTGAAGTCGAACGGTTTTCGCTTGGTCACATGGGGCACCTCCCTATGTGGCCTGATGCCGTCGGCTTCCAAGCCGTGCCTGAACCAACTGTGGCCCAGTCTGCGACACCTTCTTGGGCACAGGAGGAATTCTCTCCTCCAAGAATCGGGGCACGAACGCAGACGGAAGCCACCGGAGCTATTGCAAAATGTCGCACCGGAAACTCAAGAGGTCCAGTCGGAGCGTGGTCCGGCTGGCAAGTTGACTCTCACGCTGGGCAGGCCAACAAGACGGCAGGGGCACGCATCTCCAGCTGCTTGCGCCAACATCGCTGCCACCTCACATTCAGCATATGCCATGCCGTGGCAATGCAACTGCTGTCCCTGCAGTCAGTGCGAGAATCCTTGAAACTTTGCTTCCTTTGAAGACCGTCCCGACCGTTCTGGAATCACCTCATGCCGGAACCTCCAGCGCGCCTGGTGGTTCCTTGGTGCTGTTGGAGGAGAAGCAGACCTTGCGGAGACGACTGTGCGTGGTAATGGAGGACACGAGAATCAGGAGCCACGGCAAAACAAATGCAAGGCACCCTGTCCAGCACTCTTTGGATATTGGACATCTCCAAACCTGCAAGGCGCCGAAGTTGTCTCTCTGTTTTCGGAGATTCAATTTCACATAAGGACTGGCTTCTCGCGCTCTACCTGGAGGCTTAAGGAGTGAAGCTACTGCGCGGTTAGCTTCGGCGGACGCGCACAAAACTCACGACTCTCCAGAAATCTCGGACTTCGGAAGACCTCCTCCCCGACGTCCAAAACGCGAGCGTCCAGCTTTCCAGCAACCTGTACCATGCGAAGCTTCAGATTCAAGACTTCTCTCTTGCCCGGCCTGGTTTAGGCTAATCTTGCGGCCTCAGTTTGGAGACTCTGGGAGCACAAGCATGTGCAGCGCGTGACAGTGCCACGAGCCGTGCTAGGACAGCAACTATTCAATGAGATATGGCAGATGGGGGTTTCAGAAAATAGGGGACCCTAATATAGTACCCTAAGTAGTAGGATCCTTAATATAAGGACCCCAAAATAAGGTACCCTAAGTTTCGGAAACTCCCATATAGCAGATAACAGGGCCAGCAAATCGGATGCTAACAAATGGGTAGTTGTCAAAATTATGGTCCCTTTTGGGGTACCCTAAATAATAGGTGCCGTATTGAAATAAGGACCCAAAAAGGGACCATAATTTTGACAACCACCCAAATGCAACTTTGGCCGCAGCGTGCCTTGGCTGACAAGACCTCTTTGGAGGCCCATCCTGTTCAGGCTTCTGCGCAGCTTCCAAAATTGCGGACGATAGGAATAATGATAACACCAGTCCAAAAGTCATAACATAACACCAATTCAAAAGTCATAACAATCGTAATAATCATTGTGGCAATAGAAACAGTAATCGCAATAGTTCTAGTACTAGTACGAGCACTAGCAATAGTAAATAGCAGCAATAGTACCAGCAATAGAAATAGAAACGGAAATAGTAATAACAACCTTGATGCTATATCGTCCGTCGGCCTCCAGTTCGGCCTAATCAACAGGCACAACGCCGCAGGAGAAAGTGACAAACTGCAACCACAGTCTGTCGGCAAGGCAATTACTTTTGAAACCTCTGGCGGAAAATGATCTGATCAACAACTGCTGCTGAGTCTCGGATGCTAAATGGGCGCATGCACGGCCCTGCTACTGCAGCTGACTGGCAACAGCCGCTTCAACAGCCGCAAAGTGCACCAATATCAACTACAATATTTTTGTACACCTTGAGACTTGAGACCTTCACAAGTGAGATAGAACTTCTACTCGATCTCACGCAAGGCAATCTTCACCAAAACGGATCAAGTCAAGCGCCGCATGAAGCACCTGATCAGGCACTGCAATCGTGCTTGCACCTCGAATGACACAAGCTGCACAGGCCTCTGCACAGTGCCACACTAGTCAGCAGTTTCCGGCACTCCACACGTCTGCAAGTCTTGGGAGAGTACTCTCTGTCTACTTCACAAGTTGCTCAATTTGCTCACTACGTGAGGAAAAGTGAAATTTGGCGAAGCACACGAAGACCCCTGGGCCTGCTAAGTCGAGAGCTTCTGCCTCGACTCGCAGGCTGAGGTGCTCCGTGCCGCGCTGAACGAGTTATAGACGAGTTAGGACACTCGTTATAGTTTTACATCAGGCTATAGCCAGTGAGACAGGATGTACAGCGCAAGCAGGGCGGAAAACCATTCTGGCAGCTGGTAGCTTGAACTGACCATGGAGCCACCGGCAGAACACGAGTTGCCATTCCAGCAGTAACCTTGCTGACACATGCACGCCCCATTCACACAAGTGCTGTGGGCAATCCAGCATGTTGTAGAGCACGATGTGCTTGTGTCACTGTCACATCCTGAGGCTGCGGGTGACCGAAGAGTCTGCTGTTGGGTAAGGACCAGGAAAAGGTCCGGTTTGAATGACATCGTCTTGTTGAAGTTCTCCACTAAGTCTGCTTCTGCCCTCGTGGTCGGTGGGCAGATTCCGGTGATCGGATCAGTGTCGATCCCGGCACCACTGATGTTCTTGAAAAGGACTTTCAGCGGTGGTCGGAAGTCCTTCGGGATAAAACCTGTGGCTGCCAGGTCATCCCGGTTGAAGGACTGGGGCGTCGTGTAACTGCATCCAGCCGGCGTGTTGCACGATCTTGCCGACGGGCACATGGAGTAGCCTCGCAAAAAAAAGACAACAGAGGCTTTTGGGGACACTTTCGAAAAGTTTGTAACCGAATTGACTGAGCTCTGGGCCATACAACTGATAGCATTGCTTGCATTCCATGAAGGCACCATTGCGACTTCCTGGAGCTGTCACAATGCAGTAGTCGGGGTTCCGGAAGTCGTGCAGTCGGCGCCGTCGGAAAACCTCGAAGCCATAAGCATCGCCATACATGCTATTGAACGCATACATTGCTCCAGCACCCACCACTGCACCACCAACAGCGTACATGGCAACATTCGGTCGTGACTGTGCTGGCACAGCATTGTAACCAGAATAGCCATAGGGAGTTTGGTACGGCATCGTGCCTGGAGCAAATCTCTCTCCGCACAAGCGTCTCAAGCAACAAAACTGTTCTTAGTGTTGAGAAAACCGCCAATTCAACCAAGATGCCCCCGTAGTTGTTCATGAGCTGTGGCCGGTTGGCATAGCCATATGGAACCGCAGGCGGTGAAGGCACGCCAGTGGTACCGAAACGCCGTCGAGGACTTGCCGAGTAGGTTTGACCGTTGATGCTGGTAGTACGGCGGCGGGTGTTGACAGGAGCTGGCACAGGAGGTGGAGGAGCTCGTCGTCGAACGTCGCGTCGCCGCGGTGAAACTGGAGCTCGGCGGCGGGGGCTCCAGGCGGAAGGCGCTGATGGTGCTCGCCTCCTTGGAGATGTCGGCGGGGCCGGTGGAGAGCGTCTGCGCGGGCTCCAGCCGCCTCTGCTGCTGCTGCTGCCCCAGCTGCTGCCCCCTCTGCGGCGAGCGGACAGTTGACGCCTGCTCCAGCTGCTGCCCCCTCTGCGGCGAGCGGACAGTTGACGCCCTAAGGCTGCACTGTCCGTGTCCACCTCTGGCTGTGCATCTTGATCTTGGAGCCGGCGATTGGTTGCATCGCAAGTGTCAGCTGACTCGTTGTAAGTGGCAGCGGGATCATCACCTCAAGCGCTGCTGAAGTTCACACTTCTAATTTCAAGAGAGCCATGTGACCACAGCTTCGGATCATAAAGCTTGTGGTAGCATGTTATAGCTGCAGATCAGACGTGGCCAGCGCAAGAAGTACAGGGCGAAAGACCGGTTAAACAAAAAATAGTAAGCAAGCACTGCGGTTATTAACTGAAGCATTACAACACTACCAGTGCGAGCTTCTCTGAATCGCAAGACTTTGCAGCTGGGACTACTTGAAGCGTTGGATGCACTGAGCGCGAAACAGTCTATCGATCGAGATTTCTTTACGGACCATCTAGCCTACTTGTAGTGGTCCAAGTTGCATGTTTCGTAGCTGAAGTAGTAGCCGATGCCGAGCCATGACTGCTTCGCGATCGGGCATGCCTCGTCCACATAGCACCAGGCATCACAGCACCATTCGTGGTCTGCAGAGGTGTTCCAGCCACCGTCTGCGTTGTGGTACCAAGTGGCTTTGCATGAGCTGCTGTCCCAGTCATTACAAGAACTTCCATAGTCCGCAGCAAAGGAATCCGGAAGAGCTCCTCCCGGCAGCTGTCCACGACACTCGCATGCTCTACTGTACTTGCACCCGGATACAACGTCTGCATTCATGGTGCACGTCTCGGTGCTCCAAAAGTGCCCTGGCCAAACCGTGGACGCCCGAGATGTGGGACAACTTTCGTCCACCCAACACCAGGACATGCAGCACCACATGTCGTGGTTCGCTCGGGGGTACGTAATCTCACATATATTCGCATCATGCGGGTCACACTGCTCGCCGTAGTTGGCATAAGTGGAATTGAGACCAGCGCGAGCCAGATTGGTCGAGTCCATGGTAATGCCAAGACAATTGCACGACGTGTCACCTTAGCAACATGACACGCTTGGCAAAGATACCCAGCGCGGAGACATTGGACACCTACGGGACTCTAAAGTCATCCGTCGATTCTCTCATCTTGAATTATCTATCTCTCGTACCAGTTTCCCCCGGCCTCCCCCCATCAAGACTTTTCCAGCCATCGCTAACCATCGGTCTTACCACTTTTTCTGTCATGTTGTCGTCACCTGACTGCTTGGGCTCTGTGCCCGGCTTTCTTTCTGCTTGCAACTAGGCTAACCGGTCCCTGCATGTTGCGACTTCGATCAACTTCTGTGACTGGGGCTGGCGCCATCGGGCACGACTGGCTGTGGCTTGTACGGGCATTGAACGACCAGAGCCGGATCGTCATCACAAACATTATCTGACCAGAACAGGATACCCTCCATTCCTTCATTCAGAGACTGAATGGCTGAAGAACATTCCTTGTCGACGTAACACCAACTGGCACAGCACCAAGTATCCACTTGGTCTGGACGATAGTTTGTTGCGCAGTTTTGCATGTCCCAAGTGCCGCAGGTCGCGCCGTAGTTGTCAGCAAACTTGGATCGCATGTCTGCGCTGAACAGGCTGGACGCATCCTTGCACGTGCACGGATCATTCTTCTCCGCGATTGCAGTCCACGTGCACGGTGATACTGGTGCAAAAGTGTTGCACGCGGCATAGCTGAAGAACTGTCCGGGAAGAGCCTGCGAGGAGTAGGCATCCGGGCAGTCACTCGTAGCATAGCACCATGGTCGACAGCACCAGGCGCCTGGGAAAGCCGCAACGACATGCAGCGGGCTGCAGCGGGCATCGAAATCTTCCCAGTTGCGGACCTACTGCTTTACATCAGCCCATCCGTGTCTAACTTATGCCGAGGCGCCCAAGGACATGTTGCCCCAAAGTTCGCCACAGTTGGGGTTATCCCAGGCCCCACACTGCGCACCGTAATTCTGACCATAAGTTTCCTGCACTTCGGCCGGCAGGGTTGGCATGGTGCACTTGCAGGTGCTGGGCACCGCGTCGCTCAACTCCTGCAGCTGCACAGTGGTCTCCGGAACCACCTCTTGTCCGTTGCTGTCCTCGATACTGAAAGTGATGCTTACAGCCTGCTGACTCGCACGGATGAAGCTGACAATGTGCGGAGCATCCACTTGCAGCGAGCTGGTGTAATTGATGCCAAGGTTGTACTCTGGGAAAGGCGGTGCATTTGGGTTGCTGCTAACTGGCTTCGGACAAACCACCTGTGCGATATCCACAAGGTGCCATGTCTCGGCAGCATTTGCCGTTGCCAAGCAGAGCAGAAAAACGCTGCTGGACATCATCGTGGTGCAATCGTGCAAAGGAGACCTTTGTTCCAACCCTAAACCAGGTTCTAGGGTCGCGACACGATGTGTGAAGTTACCTCTACCTCGTGCTTCATTATAATAACTCATGCCATGCTGGTCAAAGGCCTCCAAGCCTTCAAATGCCTATGTGCCAACAAGAACCATCTTGCAGTCGTGCTTGCCAAGAGAATATGCAAAATTTTTGGTATCCAGAGCGGCCTTGAGCCAACGTGCGAAGCACCCATTTCAATCATTCTGCAGGTTCACGTCAATTGCTCAAATAGCCCAGTGAAACTAAGACTTGAGTCTTGCTAAAAGAACTGTGAATGCAGGAAGCATCTGTGCAACTCTGATCAAAGGTTTCACATTCCGAACTGTGGAAAGCTGATACAGAGGCAAAGCTAGACAGCTGCAAGACCCACAAGGGTATAGCAGGGTGCATTACCCTCCTCAGCGGTAGATAGCACCGATATTTTCAACAGCAGAGCAAAGCTCGAAATCCGTATGTCACTCCTCGCCTCCAGGCTCTCTCCAGGGGAGGCCGAAACCCCAAAAAGTCAAGTGGGTAGTTGTCAAAATTATGGCCCCTTTTGGGGTACCCTAAATAATAGGTGCCGTATTATAATAAGGACCCAAAAAAGGGACCATAATTTTGACAACCACCCAAGTTGCAGGTCGTAGGCAGGGCCGAAGAATGGCGGCTCGGGAGCTTGGGGCTTGGGTACTGGATGCGTCTTGCCGTTCATGCTCATGCCCAAGAATCCCCTTGAGCCGCAGGCTGCTGCATTAGATAACATTGAGGGTTTAGGGTTTAGGGTTTAGGGTTTAGGGAGCCCTTCTTCATGCGTCAACCCTCACTGCCAGCTGCACTTGCTTTAAGAATGGAAGTTCAGATGGACCCACTGTGGAATGCCTCCTGCTGCGGAAAGCCGTAGTGCCGGCGCAATTGCCCCGAGGCCTGGGCGTCTGGTCACCACATGGGTAGTTCTGTAAATTAGGGTCCCTGTTTAGGTCCCCAATATAGTACGGCACCCTTATAAAAAGGACCCTAAAAGGGACCCTAATTTAGAGAACTGCCCACATGCTTGGACATGGCTCCCAGCTTCTTCTCTATGGTGCCGCATATCAATCCAGAACTTGCATAGGCGCATAGTGTAGTTCAGTTACATATGGACAGGTATGTGTGTACATATCTATGCATATATTGATATATGCATATATATATATACAGATATGTATGTATGTATGTATGTATGTATGTATGTATGTCTGTATGTACTAGCATTGTACTAGTAAATGTATTGTTCGTGTGCGCACACATACTTCTATATCAGGGTAGCCGGAATCGGGACCCCTATCTGATGATGTAGTCCGATGTCTGTACGGCGAAACTACATGTCACGCAGTCAGTTGGTACTTGGCTCTGCAAGACAGCTCAGGACGGTGCGGGCCGACAATACTGCCGAATGCCCATCTGCGTTTTTCACCGTAGCACTTGCACCTGCCGAAGGCGGATGACCGGGTTCCAAAGAATCTCCCGACGGTCTCCGGGAGTGTCTGCATGGGTTGTGTCATGCCGTGAAGAAATGACTACTGTCTCGAGGCTTGATAAATGGGTGCAGCCGCAATGGTTTGCAAGTACCATGCCACAGGATCGCTGGGCATGTACGGCTGCACAGCACAAGACGCAGCAGTTCTACAAGAGAGGCCTCTTAGAGATTCTTACAGCACTGGCAGAGCTCTGAAGACTTAGGACCTGCTGACAGCGAAAACGGACGACAAGGAAAGCCTGCGTGCATGTGCGGTCTTCCCAGCACGACCAGGCTACGTCTCGGCCCTTACTCCAGCCAAGGGCCTCTGCAATAGTCTGACAAAAAACCTATGGAGATCTTGGCCACCTTCAACCGTGAATAACATCAACCCTAAACCCTCAGCCCTAAAGGCACTAAGGCCTACTATAAGGCCTACTCCTAGACCCCCCAACTACCCTCTATTATCCCCCAAATACCCACTATTAAGGACCATAAGGGCTCCATTAAAGGGCCATTGGGGGGTCCTGGCTAGGTCCTTAGCATCTCCTTGGGAGCTAGGATTAGGGGGACCCTTGGGGATATAGACCCTCTCAATAAGGTCCCTAGGGGTACCCCTAATAATACTTGGGACTTCCCAGAGCCTCCTCGGAGCAGTCGCTCTGCGACAGCCTCGCTGGCTTTGGCCGCAGCGACCTGCCGACACACAGTTGGGTTTAGGGTTTAGGGTTTAGGCTTTCGGGTTTAGGATTTCGGG